GGAGGTCCTCCTCCCCTTCCCTCTGACCCTAGCCTATCAGGTCTCATCAGGAGTGGCTGCATTGTCTTCCTCTGTGGCTGGTAAGGCTGCTCCCTCCTCAGAGGGAGGTGATCAAAGAACCAGCCACTGAGTAACTGCCTCCTAGTATTGTCAGAGGGTGATAACCAAGCCTTTGGGAGACATTTAGAATCTCAGCTACCACACTGCCCATTTCAGTGACAACTATCCCAGAATCATTTATTCTGGAAGGCTGGTTTGATTCTGGTGGCATCCCTTAACACCTGCTTGGACCCCTAGGGGGTCACTGTACACTTTGATGCCTTTTCAGGAAGCAGGGTGCTCTTTGGAGGATGTTGTTCAGGTATCTTTTCTAGCTGGGACATTAGTTCCTCTAGTTTCTATGGCACTGTCTCATGCATCTACTAACAATTTTGGATTTATACAGCTTAAAAGTTTCGGGGGCTTGCATCTACCTCTAAGAAAGAGGTCTGTTCTTGACGTATTGCTGATCTGGTTTTGCTCACTTGAGAACTTATCCGACAACCGAGGGCTCATGTGAATCCAGTGGAGTATTCAGGAAACTTTCCATGTAGCAAGCGGAGCAGATGAGCTAGCTCACAGTTACACTGCTGGGGAGGAGTCACCGTTCTAAGACACTGTGCCAGCTTCTTCCTCTTCTCCAGGCTCAGTATCTGAATTACCTATCCCTGCTCACTCTTCAAGCATAATCAACTGCTTTCATCTTATACTTAGCAAATATCAAACATTTTATAGGTACTTTGTACACAAACTCTCATCATATACCAATAGACAGACACACAGTATTTCTGTTTTATAAATTAAGGTACTAATGATGGTCTAACCACAGGAAGTTGACAGAAAAGCAAAAACAAAACAAACAAACAAACAAACAAAACAATAAGTTGTTTGCTTTGACATTTACTAGGTATATGTTCAATGTGATTTTGGCTTCCAGAGTTCAATCCAGATCTTATTGGTACTAATCTAGAGAAGATAGGTCCCAGAGACAGGAAATCAATGCTTTAGGGTCGATTTCCATCATTTGTATGAGTGTTGTGTGCCCTCTCTGCAATTTTGTAGGAGGAAGAAACTGCAAGGGATGCTAGAGAGGGTGATAAAGATGCATTTCTTTCTCCAAGCCAGTTTCACCATTAGGGTGGCTTCAAAACAAAGGCTGCTTGAGAGGGCCTGCCTGACCAGGTCAACTAAGCAAGAATGCATTCTAAAGCAGTTGCTTTCCAAGCTCCTTCCTGCTTCCTATAAAGGTGGCATTGTTCTCTGGATTCCAGTAGGATGCTGGACAGGTAGATTAAGAACTGCTAATAAGTTTAATGGCTTAAATAAACACATAACTCAAATAGCAAAAGAGCCACCTGGATTGCCAAACCACTCCAAAGGGATGTAATTTCTATCCTTAAAACAGAAATGGAACGGAGTATGGAAAGAGACCTAGTATCTCCATGCCATCTTAGTTTTGAGTTATCCAAGATGGGGATGAAGGGAATTTCCCCCTTGAATTGCCTTTCTAGCACTATACAGCAATCGCTGAGTGAAAGGACCACCCAGTTCTTAGTGTGGCCTTCATGACTGATTATGGAAATTTTTGCCAAGCAAGGCTGCACAGAATGGTGATCCTAGGGTCCAGGAGATGAAGGAAGAGGATGAGAAGCTCAAGGTCATCACTGAGAAACAAATTCAAGGCCAGAAGACATGAGACCCTCCCTTAAAATAAAACAACACAGACATTTAAATACCAGTTGTCAGTGTACACTGAACAGCTTTCAAATTACATGGAAAGAATGTGTTCTCACCTCTAACCCACTACATGGATGAGGTCAAAATCATGACCCACTGCCCTCTAAGTGGTTTGAATAAGAACTTTGGTTCTTTTCTTGATGGAATATGGATTAACAGGTTACTGATATATCCAGACGTGCCAATTTCAACAGTGATCTGAAACTTCAGTCCTATTATAATAGTTCCAAACTCTTGCCTTCCACTTAGCAAAGTTGCAGGTCTTTCCCTCAGATACCTTCATTGGAGTTTCCGGGGGATGCCTGAGGTTCTGAGGCCTCTGCATTTCTACAACAGTCTGCAGAGGATCAGATATAGCATTGAAGGTGTTATATGCCATCTCTGGCCTTTACATATCTGGAGAGTTATAGCTTCGGGTCCTGTGGTTCTGCATGTCCTTGCCAAGCTCCCTGGAACCGTGACAGTGTTGAGAGTGGAGGGGTTCCGACAGTTCCTGCTTACTGAAGACCTCACTGTCTACTCTTAGTGAAAAATACCTTTCTCGGCGTTACATTTGGTCAGTCCCTCATGCATCTTAGAGCTCACTTACCACATCTGGTTAGTACTTCTTGAGTCTCAGTATCACTTTTGTCAGGCATCTCAGAGCTCATGGAATGTTGCATGAGCCCAGCTGCACATACACCATCCCCCTAACACCTGGACATTATACACCTACAACCATCTAGCCCTATTAAATGTCCTACTCTTGGGAACATGTCACCATTCTAGATGTGGCCTCTCTGTTAGAGAAGTTCCATGTCTAATCTTCTTTGGACTTCTGCTAATCCATTAGGATTGTTTTAATTGCCCATATTCTTGTGTAAGTGAAGAAGGGGAGGAGGAGGAGGAAAAGGAAGAGGAGGAGGAAGAAGAAGAAGGAAGGAGAAGGAAGAAGAAGAAGAAGAAGAAGAAGAAGAAGAAGAAGAAGAAGAAGAAGAAGAAGAAGAAGAAGAAGAAGAAGAAGAAAATTCCAGTCCCTTTGACCAAGGAAGTTACCATAGGAATTCTAAAATACAAATTTACATAGAAGTGTGATGTTTATCCAACTCACCCTAATAACGTTTGAGATCTTAGTCCAGATCTCTCAGGAGGACTGATCCATCACTCCTTGGATAAAATTACCTGAGGGCCAGGTTTTCAAAAGTACAGAACTGTAAAGACATTCTTCCTCAGTCTTCTTATAGACTTCTTATATACTGAGGCAGGGTCTCCTATTTGATCTCAAAGCTTGACACTCCAGCCTGTCTAGCGTGTCATCTGGCTCTCGAAATCTCCTGTCAATCCCTCCTGCGTGCTGAGATTACAGATGCACTGCCATGCCCGCTCTGCATTTATTTGATTTCTGGAGCTCTAAAATTCAGAACTTCATCCTTGAAGTGCCTCATCATTTCCTAATCCCTGTGTGAGATTCTGATAATACAAAAATAGGGGATAAAGCTCATGTTGTATCTAAAATATGATGCAGTAATAGACAATGACTTGGGTAAATATGCTTTTTCTAAAACTGAAAATGGGTGTGGCTGAGCCTACCTTGGAGCCATGACCTTCAGGACGATGAGGATAAAGTGTAACTCTGATCCTGGAAAGCTCTTAGTGGCTCCCTGCCAAGCAGACTGCTTTCTCAGCATGGAGAAACTTCTTTGAACTGGCTTGGTCAGCATGATGTCCTGGTCCATCCCTACCTTGCCTGCTGTGGGCCTCAGTAGGGGCCACTTCCTTGCTCCACGTTGTAGCACCCCAGTGAGTCCCCTCCTCCTACGGTATCTTCTCTGTACCATTAGTCACTAGCTCTTGGTTATCATTAGTATCGTTATCAGTGGGTGGAGAAACTTCAGAATTAGGCTGCAGAGGCAACCACTCCTTTGTCACTTGGGCTGTATTCTTTGGGCAAACATGTGTTGGGTACCTGCTGTTTGTTGGCTGCTGTTGAGATGAGTCCTGCACCAGCTGTGGCTGCAGGCAGCCCCTGTTCTGGTACTGGGAGACTGACTTGTAACCAGAGTCCTGGTAAGTGTGTCCCAGGGGAGGAGTGAGCCCGAGTGGCTACGGATCCCCAGCAGCTTCTGCTTTAGCAGTGCAGGACACTTCAGAAGGGCACTTGTCAGCAGGTTTCATAGGAAGAGTTGGTACTGCAAGGTGGAAAATGAAGACGAATGGATTTTTCAGATAGAGTGTTATTGTTGTCCTTTCACTGAAGAGGGGGAAGGATTTAACTTAATTCAATCCTGTTCGTTGGCTTGCTTAATTTTGTTTGTGGTGCTGGGGAGCAGACCCAAGATTTCCGGAAGCAGCACCCCCTCCCCAGTGTTCACTAGGAAACAAGGGGCTTTTAAACTTTTTCAGTTTTGTAACCTGCTTTTTGTTTGTTTGTTTGTTTGTTTGAGGTGTGGTCAGTCTTGCAGCCAGGAGCACAGTGGGAATCATTGCAGTGTTCCAGTCACCATTTGTTGGCTTTAACAGTCATGTGATGATCTTGAGAATGAAGTTAGAAATCTTGCTTCTAATTGGAGGAAGTAGACAAGTATAACTAGGTGGATCATTGTGAGAATTGCCTACTAAAACCCTAATATTTGATTTTTTTTATATTCATCCCAAAAAAACCCCAAAATATTCAATGTGATGTTTATGTTTAAAAATTTTTTAGATTACCTTTTTTGAATTTTACATAGACTATCACATAAACTAGTCCAAAATTATAGACTTTTGGATATCCTTTTAGGAAATAGAAGAGACTAAGTGGGATGTTTATATAGGAAAGATGAGCAAATATTATCATTTCTGAAGGGAATAATTTTACATAAATATTAAATGGCACCCTAATAAAAACCTGTGGATTTTATTCTATTAATTAATTATACAGCATTCTGCCTGCGTGTGTGCCTGTGCACAAGAAGAGGGCACCAGCTCTCACTATAGATGATTAGAGCCACCATGTGGGTGCTGAGAATTAAAGTAAGGACTTTTGGAAGAACAGCCATTGTTCTTAACCTCTGAGCTATCTCTCCAGCCCCTGGATTTTACTCTTTGTTCTAAAAGAAACACCACCAATAAGGGGAGGCATGTGGTTCTTGCCAGACTTTGTGCAATAGATTTGAAATGTGGGTCTTATCTGGATAAGGATAATAAAAGAAAACACTTATCTACTAAAATTTCTTGTCTACTAAGAAGCACATTGTTTCTTTCAGGTTATGAGAAGACAGATGATGTTTCAGAGAAGACCTCGCTGGCTGACCAGGAGGAAGTGAGAACCATATTCATCAACCAGCCCCAGCTGACAAAATTCTGCAACAACCACGTTAGGTAAGAAGGGCTGGGGAAGGCATGGGAGGATGAATGGTAGAGCAAGATGGGTGGGAAGAGAGCAAGGCAGAGACAGCTGGATCTCTTTGAGTTCATAGCCAGCCTGGTCTACAAGTGAGTTCCAGGACAGACACAGCTACATAGTGAGACCCTGTTTCAAAGGGAGAGAGGGAGGGGTGGAGAAGTGGAGGAAGGTGAAGAGGGAGGGAAGGAGGGAAAGAAAGGAAAATGCTTACCAGGAGCACTCAGCTCAGTTAGGGGCATCTGCTGTTTTTGTTTTCTGTCCACGAAAGAAATGATGACTATTGTGCGACTTGTGGGGGAATGTTTTTGTCCATCATTTATAAAGCTCTGGGTTCAATTATCAGCATCTCAAACAAAAATAAAAGGAAAGGATAAAAGCAAAAATAAGACCCTGGCCTCTGAAAGACTCAAAGCAGATGCTGAGGCTCATAACCAAATTTTGAGCAGAGTACAGGGAATCTTATGAAAGAAGGGGGAGATAGAAAGACCTGGAGGGAACAGGAGCTCCACAAGTTGAGCAACAGAACCAAAAAACCCGGGCACAGGGGTCTTTTCTGAGACTGATACTCCAACCAAAGACCATGCATGGAGATAACCTAGAACCCCTGAACAGATGTAGCCCATGGCAGCTCAGTGTCCAACTGGGTGTCTTAGTAAAGGGAACAGGGACTGTCTCTGACATGAACTCAGTGGCTAGCTCTTTGATCATCTCCTTCTGAGTGGGGAGCAGCCTTATCAGGCCACAGAGGAAGACAATGTAGCCAGACCGGATTTGAACTGATAGGCTAGGGTCAGATGGAAGAGGAGGGGGACGTCCCTTATCAGTGGCAGTGGACTTGGAGAGGGGCATGGGAGGAGATAAGGGAGGGAGGATGCGATTGGGAGGGAATGATGGAAAGGGGCTATAGCTGGGATACAAAGTGACTAAACTGTAATTAATGTAAAAAATAAAAAATAATAAATAAATACATAGAATTTCAATTAAAAAAAAAAAAAAAACAAGACCCTGAATGTAAGAAGGAACACCTATACCCCAGGAATTTTGAATAACCAAAGCTCCCTGGGCAGCTGTCATCTTTCTGAACCTATTAATGGAGCTGTGAATTATTTATGCATGGCAAATTTTAACTTCTTAGGAACATTTTTGTAACGCTATACCAAAAAGTTTTAGGGTTTGGTTTGTTTGTTTTGGCTAGAGTCTTAAAGTGTGGGTTTTGATAGTTGTAATTCGGTATGTGTAATACAGCTTTGAAAATGCCTTCCTTACTATATCTCTTCAGGTTTTAATTTCAACAGTCATGACAAGATTCCACATAAAAACTAGGTTCTTAGTAACCTTGAACCACATGGAAACACCCTGGTGTTTCCCCGGGGCAGATTTACCAGATTTGAGATGTACCCATTTAAAGGGAATATTTACAGAATATTTACAGGTCCTCTAGTTGTACCTCTGTTGAAAAGTATGTCCTACCTCTTTAATTTCCCCTCTCTCTATAGCCTAGATGTTTCCGAGACCAACATGTTCACATCTTAATGATTCTGGACTGTGGGGAGTCCTCATTGTGTTCCTAGCACGGCCATAGAGACAGCGCTAGGCCATAGAGACAGCGCTAGTTAGAGCAGCCCTTTGCATGGTTGTCCAAGAAGCTGTTACACTGTTTGGTCTTGTTCAAAGGCTGGTATTTTTCTGTTGATGTGTTAGTGCAGTATCTTATCTAAAGTTGCTTTTCTTTGCAAGCTATCCCTAGTACTGTTCTGCATGATAACAGCCAAAGAGGACAAATGTTGTTATAGAGAAAACCAAGCCTACCAAGTTCAGTCTTGGCTGTTTATTTCTCCAGTTCCTGTCCCTCTTTTACGTTAAGGATCCCTCACTATAGTTTCTAAATTTGAAACTGTGAACACATGTTGTCATCTGATTACTCCCGTGGTGGAAACAGAACTTTGAAAACGTGGGTGCTAATTGTGGAGGAGCTAAGCTTTATGTTTCTTATGTTTTGCTTTCTAGTACTGCAAAGTACAACGTGCTCACATTCCTCCCGAGATTCCTCTACTCTCAGTTCAGAAGAGCGGCTAATTCGTTCTTTCTCTTCATTGCCCTGCTCCAGGTAAAGCTCCATCCACCCTTCAAACCTCTGTTCTGCAGGAAGTTACGATATGTTTCGTTAAATCCTCCGCCAATCCCCTGAAGCTATAGAAAGACAGAGAAACGAGTTGGCGCATAGTCTCTGCTGCTGCTACTGCGCATGTGTGCAGTGTCAGGCCTCCCCCGCTCCTGCCCCTCCAAGCCTTTGAGTTCATGCTTATGCAAATATTTATTATCGTCTATAATTCTGTGGCAAGAAGTGTTCACCGTATAGCTGTTGGAGAGACCTAAACTGTCCGTTTAGTTTTACCTCAGTGAAAGCATCAACACTAAATGGCTTAGGACACAATTATCACTTACAAAAGTGATTAGTTAAGTTAGTTGTTATAAATGTTTTAAGGAGGAAAAAAATGCATTTTTTTAAAAAAAAAAAACGCGAATGTTCACTGTTAGCGAAAGGAGTTGATAAAGCAAAAGAAAAAAAATTAACTGATTATTCCATCACCAGAGGTAATTATTAAAATTAAAAAAAAAAACTGAGTCCCTCTAGTCTTATTTCTAGCATTTATTTTCTGATCTAGATAACAAAAACTGCTACTGAAATAAACATTCTTTCATAATGATTGCTTCCTACGAGACTGTGTGGACATCTCTACAGATATTTATTGCCTTTCTAAGTCATTGTTTTGATGATGAGATGATTCGTATATGCTACTTTGTCGTTTTTAATCCTACACTCTGTTGGCTCTGTGCGCTACACATTTATCAATAAGCAAATTAGCTTATTCTCCAGGTACTTCTCCCAGTACCAGTAAAATCAGTGAGGGATGTTTTAGAAGACTCTGAGTCATTGTTCTCTTAGGGTTTTTATAAGCCTGGTTCTCACTGACTTGCCTTTTATCTTGCCTTTTTTCTTATTCAGCAAATACCCGATGTGTCACCAACAGGTCGATACACAACCCTGGTTCCTCTCTTATTTATTTTAGCTGTGGCAGCTATCAAAGAGATAATAGAAGACATTGTAAGTATTTAATTTTTCATAAATAAACTGGCCCAAATGTATATTAAAAATATTATTTCTTAAGATATTTAATTTGTAGAATAAATTCTTTAAAATGCCCATTCAACTTAAGTGATAGCATTGCATTTATTTTTCTGAAGCCAATTTCTAATAGATTACTATTGAGAAATTCTTGTTATAGTGTTCTTTTAGGCTTATCATTTATTAATAAAAGAAATTAACTTAAATATAGTAATTGGCATGAAGAGAAAATGGCATTTGAACAATGTTTCCAATTAATTGAAATAATCTCCAAATTAAATATAAATGAGCTTTTATTACATTTTATTGTTAAAGATAAATATCATGCTTTTCACCTTATTAGAGTCCTTGATTTCTTCTCATTTTATTTTAGTGTTCTGAGTTTCCTCTCCATTAATCTTGTCTTATTGAAAGGAAGTGACAGTAAGTTTGCCATTTTTAGTACTCTGTGGTAGAAAGAGGAAGTTGGTTTCCCCTTTGTAAAATAAACTCCCCCAAATAACTTTAGACCTTTTCTGTATTCTGTTTTAATTGAGGAAGCCAATATTGTGTTTCCTATTGTGGGGGTTTGGTGACTCTTCATGTTTTAAAGTACTTCTTTACATGTCTAAACCGACCTCCTATTGGGCTTTAGAAGAATCAGATTTGGGAAAAGGAAGGCTGAAGAAATCTTCATCAATGCACTGTCCTAAATTTCACAAAGAGTAATATTACTTCTGCTTTGCTACTTCATCGATATTATTTAAAACAGGGAAAAACCAGAACTGCCTGGCATGCTGGAATTAAAGGCTTGGGGTGTTGTGTCAGTGGCTCTGAGTATCGGTAGTTGCTGAGGACACACAACTCTGTGTGGGTACGTCTAAGACACTATTGTTGCCTTGATTGACGACATCCTGCTTGGGCCTACAAACTGGAAAACTGAGGGGATTCTCTTTTCTTAGCTTGTTTCCTCTCACTTCCATTCTTTTAAGTCATGGCTGGATGTGGCAGCAAAGCTGTAATTTCTCTAGTTGTGGCCTCTACCCACTGTCATTCAAAAATATAGTAAACAAAATTGTATTCAAAAAGTATTTTTAATAGATCATAATACAATAATTGGATGTCATTAGAAAGAAACTCATCAGACTCGACAGAAACACAGGAATACATTCAGGTGCCTGTTATCACTTAGGGTAAACTCTGTGATGTGTTTAAACTTTGCCACGATGTTAATTACATTCAGTATGTTAGTGGTCTTATATTGTTGTCTACTTATTGAAAGACACTGTGGTTACTAGATAATGGCAGAGAGTATCCTTGTTCCTTGTAGTCACTTGGGGATGCAAACTGAATTAAAGCTCTGCTGGATAGGATGGTAGGCTTCGTTGTAGAAGACAAGGATGGAGGGATTAGATATGGCATTTCTCAGGTTTCTTGGGCCATCAATGGTACACAATATCTGTTTGCAGGTATTAGAAATAGCGGCATAATGAAGAGATGCTTCCCTTGCATCCGTGGGAGTTGGAACTAGATGCTTGCGAAGACTAATTATGTCTTCCACCTATATCTCAGAAACAAAACCCAGCTTAAGGCCTAGGAAAACTTACATTCTATGTTAGCACTGTCTTTTACAGCTTTAGAATAAAAGTCAAAGATATGTCTACGTGTGAGCTACTGAAGACTTACCCACTCTTAATGCTTTGCATTGCTCAACATAATATGATGTTTTATTTTTGTGTAAATAGAAGTAATGTATACACACCTGAAATACTCTAAATTGATGGAAATCTCTTTTTAAAACATTATGAGAAACCTTTTTATCATAATGAATGCTAATTCTTGTGGCAAAAAAAATCAGAATTACCGTTGTCTGTTAAGATGGTATGCAGAACCATAAAAACATTATCTTTTTTTTCCCCAGAAGATTGTTAAACCTCAGTAGATTTTATTCATTGCAAAATGAATAGTTATTCAAAGTCTGTGAGATGAGGGCACCAAGTATTAGGCATCTGCTACTGAGTAAAAGAAGTCTGGATGGAGTTGACCATCCAGGACATGAAGAAGACAGTAAAAACAACATAAATTGGAAGAAGAGCAGATGTCTTAGCAAACTGGGTAGACTATTCCAATAGCTGGTATGAGAAATGAAGACATTAGACCAAGTGGTGTTGTCAAGATGGTAAAAAGTGTAAAAAGGAATTCGGTGCATGTTTTGGAATCAAATTGGCAAGGTTTGGAATGCTTGCTGCTTCCCTTACTTATCTGGTTGATAGGCTGTCTCTATCCACCTGAATATGTATTGCATGAGCTCAAGCGATTTGGGCTCCTGCACATTACTGTACCTTCAGAAGTATTAACAGAGCCTGGGGCCACAGTGAACGTTTATTAGATAATTAATTATCAAAGAAAGAGGGCGCTAGATAAAGTGACAGGGAGAAAAAAAGTGCAAGGTGGCTTTTAAGTTTCTGATTCGTGAGAATGGGTGCACATGGATTCGTGGTTCCATGTCTGGGCTAAGGTGACAACAGACTACAGCATGGACACAGTTCAAGGCTCCTCTGAGAGAGTGCAGAAGTCAGAGGCGAGAGAGCAGGGGAGGACCCCATGATAGTCTTTGGTGTGAAAGGGCTGAGCTAAGGATGTAGGAAAGCTGTAAAAAGGGGCAGGGACTAATCTCATCTGTGAAGAGTGAACCAAGTCTCTGAATGAAATGTTTCATTAATTAGCTTTTATCTCCATCAGTTGGAAGTCTCACTATGTCTCTCATAGGTGTATATGGGGAGGGAGGAGCTCATCCAGACCTCCTTTTACTATCTAAATTTACCTTGGACTTAAAAAGAAAAAACAAAAATCTTGGACCAAAACTTGTTTTGGATTACTTTCAAAATTTCTTGGACTCTTTATTAAGAAAGAAATGGCAAACAAATAACATAAAATTATTTGGAGCTTTTCAGTTATATTTTTCTATTGTTAATATAAATATAAAGATTTAAACTTTTTGAACTCAAATCATTTTCTAGCAAATTATAGTTTTCTTTTGGAAGCAATAGTATTCCCGTGACGTTTCTTCACTATCTCACACATTTCCTAGTGAGTCGTTTGCGCTGAGAAAGACTTGCCATGTAGAAATGGAAGAATCAGGTTCCACGTTCCTCCCCGAGAGGTTTCAATGCTGTTTGTGGATTGGGTAGTTCGGTGGCCTTTCGTCTGATGAACAGAGTCCACGCTGCCTTAGTGAGGAGGATGAATCTCACTTCACTCACCTCAGACACAGCTCTGGCTCAGAGCAGTGCTGACTCCACACGTTTCTCTTGGGAAACAGTTTTCACTAAGCTTCTTGAACACCTTATTTTTCTCAAATGGAAAACGTAGGCACTTCTGTGTGTTTGTTCTCAATTCTCACAGCTAAATGCAAGCTTGGGCTGTCTAAGACAGGATCTTTGAAAAAAAAAAGGTGGGGGGGGCAGGGAGGGTTAGTTACACCGAACCCTTTTCTGCCGTATTACCTGATCTGGTGTGTCTTAGAAGCCGCAAGAAACCTCCAATTGAACTACTGAGGAGAGAGTGGCCCGTATAGCGGCTCCTGAGTCACAGGTTTCTCACCTTTCCTCTGACTTCGGCTTCTTTTTCTTACCCTTCTAAAGTCTCTTCACACTCACCTGTGTCAACCTAGACAAAAATCACCCGCTCACTATTTAACATTGTGGGTGCTCTGGGGATGGGGTGGAGGGTGCCGAGATTGGCGTCTGTCCGTCCTGGCATCTGGTTGCACTGTGGAGCAGTGAAGACAAGAGGCTGCACTGGAAGTGGTAGAGGAACTAGTTGCTGGTTGAGGACAGACATCAGTGCGTCTTCAAATTATGGAGGATGTACTCAGCTTAATCAGATAATGAGTTTTACCAAAAGCTGAAAATACTTCAGTCCTGTTATTAAATGGTAGTTATTATAGATAATTCTCTTGGGCAATCTTCTAAGTGAGTTATTTAAGCAATAGACTAAATCAGACTTTTGCTTCATTTTTCTAGTACTATTAAAGTGTTATTCAGGGGAAGAGGGAGGAGGCTACAGCTGGGATACAAAGTGAATAAATTGTAATAAATAAAAAATAAATTAAAAAATGTTATTTTGCCTATTTTCTTCTTTAATTTTATTTATTTATTTATATTAACTACATTTTATTTGCTTTGTATCCCAGCTCTAGCCCCTTCCCTCATTCCTTCCCAATCCCACCCTCCCTCCTTCATCTCCTCCCATGCCCCTCTCCAAGTCCACTGATAGGGGAGGTCCTCCTCCCCTTCCATCTGATGCTAGCTTATCAGGTCTCATCAGAACTGGCTGCAATGTCCGCCTCTGTGGCCTGGCAAGGCTGCTCCCCTCTCGGCCAGGGTGGGTGGGGATCAAAGAGCCAGCCTCAGAGATGGTCCCTGTTCTCCTTACTAGGGAACCCACTTGGAAACTGAGCTACCATGGGTGAGTACTGCCAGGGAGGAGTACTGTATGAGGAAGCCGAGGGTGCTGTAACAACACCCCCAGCTACGAGTGTAGAAAGACCAAAACCTGGAGAGCATAAGCTAAAAGACCTTCGTTCATTCTCAGCACCAGTTTGCTTTCTGGATCTCGTTCACTCTTTCACTGAGGTTTTTGTTTTGTTTTGAACTTTAGAAACGACACAAAGCTGATAACGCTGTGAACAAGAAACAGACACAAGGTAGGACTTTTATATGTTTTTTCCTGTGTTTACCAAGTTTGCTCACTGTCATATCCTCAAACTCTTAAGTGTGATTCAGTTGTGAATACTCTATTGTATTGAAATTCTCTCTCAGCTCAGACTCCTTCTTACTTTCTTAGTAGTTGTATTAGCACTTAAATTGACGGGAGAGTGGTGCTTTTGAAAAAGCCGCTTTCTACCATATTTAGATGCTTACTAACCATGTGCTTCTAAATGCATTGTGAATAAAATCTGTAGTTTTTTATTACTATGTTAAAAGCTATAACATGCCTTTATGTTATTTGTGAACAGTGTTGGCTGTAAAAACAATCGAAAAATATCTGAAACTTTGTAACTTGTTTGAAAACCACTCTTGAGTTATTCCGTGTAGGCGGATGAAGTTAGCTATTGAAATGAAGGCCATGGTTAAAGCCAGGCCAGCTTCCAGGCCAGCTTCCGAATGAGCATGGTGTTCTTGCACAGCCTTTTATTCACACAGACCAAACCAAAATGACCTTCAACATAGGCAAAGAGGACCATGTTTTTAAAAAGAGCCTAGAACTTGAAGGCAGACGCCTTATACCACCCCTGAGCTTCCTCCCACTGAGAGACTCCTTTCTCTCCACAGCTCCCTAGTGCGAAGGGAATCAGGAGTCTTCCAGCGTCACCTTTATAGGAAGCACAGTTTACTGCCGCTCCTGTGGGGAGGCCCGATGACAGGGTTTCTCAGCCTGTGTGTCATAACCCCTTTGGGGTCATATATCAGATATCCTGCATATCAGATTTACATTACAATTCATAGTTATGAAGTAGCAATGAAATAATTTTATGGTTGAGGGTCACCACGACGTAAGGAATTGTATTAAAAGGTCACAGCAGTTGGAAGGTTGAGAACCACTGCCCTAGGGGAACACTCTCCCTCTTTCTCACCACTTCTGACCAAAAGCCTCATCTGCTAGGTTTTTTATACATCTGTGCTTATTATCCTAAAATATTTAGGCTATCTACTAAAATATTAATTATTTGGGGATATAAGAAAAGATCAAATGAGAATTTTAACTTTGAAGAGCTTTCAGCCTGTTTGCTAAGATACATAGATGTGAAAAAAATGTGTAAGTACAATATTAGAGAATTGGGGAGAAAATGAAGGATTGAGCTATGCGGTCTCAATGACTCAGTGGATTTTTGTGGAATAGTGATAGTGTTTCCCTTGTCTAATGCTGTAAAACCCCCAAAGGGAGAAAATCCTGGATTATCTTGAGCTACGTCTTGAATTTTGGATGGACAGTAGATGACTAAAGAGATGTAGGGATAACATTTTTCCTGTGGGTTGAGTGGGAAAGGGGAAGAGAAGACAGTCTGGAAGGAAAACAGCTGCTGGGTGACTGCACTGAACCATCATTAGAGTGTCAGGTAGCCAAAGGAGATTCATATCATTGGGAAGCAGACACACGATTTACAAGATAGGCTGGAATCAAATTTTATGAGACCTTAAATGCCAGGCCCAGGAGATGCCAGCTTTGCTTGGACGTCCTCAGTAGCTAATGGCTAAGGCGTATGAGCCAAAAAAGAAACAGAATGATCATCAGGACGGAGAACAGAAAGGATCACAGGAGAGATTCACAAAGCTGCTCCAGGAGTTTACAAGTGAAGGAACAATCACAAGGAGAAAATGGGATATGTAGATGTTTTCCGTGCTCCTATTTCTGACAATGTGCAGCTCTTGCGTTTGTTGTCATGTTGCTTGAGAATATTCAGTAGATGCTTTTGAAGCACAACTCTGCAAGCCCCCTTCTAATACATAATTCTGGTACATAATGCATCACTGGCACAGGGTTCTAGTCTGTGGTGGCTGGTGGCTGGTCTTGGCAAGCCTTGAAGGACTGTTGTCACTGTGGTATGATTTTAGGTCAGCCCATTTTGTGCCAGAGGGATGCTGATTTCTTACATACCCACTTCCTCAAAATGCTCTTTTTTTTGAAAGAACATTCTTTCTGGGCTTTTCCATCCTCTGCATGGGGTTATAGGAGCATCTCTCCATCTGGAAATGAAGACCAGACACCTTTGCGGGAAGGCTTCCCCACTCAGTATCAACTGTATTAACTGTATTAAAGGCACACCTATACAATGAAATATATGGAACCAGCTATAGACACCGGGTTAGTCAGTAGAATACTTGGAAATCCCGTATCCAGGAAGTAAGGTTGATGCCCGAAGGTGTTTCCTGTGTAGTTGGCATCTTCCTGCTTAACCTCTGCCTAGTTTGAGCACTGGTATTCTTGGTTTGGCAGATGATGACAGATAACAAAAATGTTTGAACAGGATGCTGTTTGCTGTCAGATAACTCAAATTACTTAATATGAGAGCCATCTGTTGTCATTAGACCAGAGTGAAATTCAATTTGCCTTCCTGAACCGAGGCAGTGGTTGGTGTGTAGGAGGGGGAAGAGGATATTTATGACAGGTAATTAATTTTGACAGAAATTTAAAGTACTAAGCTTATATTTTTCTAAATGTTTGCCAAGGCCACATAATGCGTGAGAGACGACTTTTACTCTAGTGCCAGGATTCACTCTTGGGTATTTGTACTCAAACGAATGTTCTTTCATTTTTGTTAAGACACGAGGAAGTCTCCCCCGCTCTGCCACTCTAGTCATCCCTAGAGACGTCAGAAACAAGCACACAAACAAAAAATGATAACTTCTTTCCAGCATTTTTAGCCACTTAGCTATAGATTGGTGCCTGTGTGGCACATCATTTTTACCAACTAAATTATGGAGCTTGGCTCCAACTCAGAACTTTACGACCGGGCTCTACATTTGAGCTTGTCTTCAGTATTTTTGGAGAAATGCCACTTTTTGCCTTCGAGATCCATATGTTGGTTAAGCAGATGGCTTAGGGATATGGCAAAAGTGACTTGTGTGTTATTTTCTAAGAACCTAGTTTCAGAGAAGGGACAGAGCGTAGACTGATGCACACACGTTCCGGTGCGCATGCGTCTGGGCGAGCTGCGCGGTCGGTCCTTCCCAAACAGCAGCGACTTCTTTTCTTTAGACACGGTTGCTGCCGTGGTGATAATTTGTATATGATAGATGGACACTGCAGAGGACGGAACCGTGTCTAACTTCCAGCCTGGGGCCCTGTCTTAATAGATGCTGCGCACAGCACATGCCTGATCAAATATTAACATGGTGGGAGCTCTCACACTCCCTTACCTTCACTGTCGGTCATTTCCTCATCACTGTTGTCCTCGCTTTGCCTCCCGAGAACACAGAGCACAGTATCCATTTATCACTTAGATTATTCATAGCACCAGCACATGGCCAGAGTGCCTCGTTCTTCCTTGTATGTGAATTCGCCTCTACCTCTTCTGATTTCTTCTTTCACCCTCAGTTTGTCTTGAACACACACGCACACACACAGACACATCATCTCCGTGGACTACGCATTTGTCATTGTTACTGTAATGAATACACTGAATCCAGTCCCATATGGTTGGATTATGGTGGTTCTGTCGGCTCTCTCTTTAAATTGTAAAACAACGCTTCTGTTTTCTATGTAATGCTATGAAAATTTCAAGTAAAATGACACCCTCATATATAATCATGACATGGTAGACTGGGAAAAGATAGCGCTTGGGCACAGTCTAAGGTAGTTGGGATAATTTATAATTGCCTAATGAATAGAAGGGCTGTTTTAAAACCCCAGGCTTGGGTATAATCCCTAAAGGATGCTGCATGTATGTCCAGCGAGTGAGGTGTGCGGGACAGAGCCGCCTGCCGACCACCTGTCTTGGGTCTGTAGTTGGACGAGAGCGAACATTACAAGAGTTAGTTTTTATGATACCTCCTCTTACTATGATAGTAGGTATTTTGTAAAGAAAATATGTCTTTGTTTAATGAACTTTTCCTGCAGTTTAAAAGACAACATAAATTCTTCTAACCAAGATACACTTGTTTGTGTGTTTTTTTCTGATTTACTTTATATGTTTTATTTATTTTAAGTGCACGAATGTTTTCTCTGTATGTATGCGTGCCATGTGTGTGCCTGGTGCCTGTGGAGATCATAAGAGGGCATTGCATTCCCTGGAACCAGAGTTAGGATGATTACAGAGCACCAACCAGGCCCTTTACAGGAGCAAAGAACTCTAAACAATTGCTCTAAACAGATGTTATCCCTTCAGCCCTCCTGACCTAGGCACACTGAGAGTCTCACAGACAAAACTGACCTCTATCTAGAATTTTCTCCCTAGGGCCCCACGGGCGTTTTCTTGGAGTAGAGTGAGATAGCGATTGTCAGAGCACTAGCCAGGGCCTATGGTGCACACAGCTGGTGGTTGCTTACCTCCCCCTGGAAACCACTTCACCTTTTAAGTCCTCTGGGGGGGAAAAAAAAAGGCATTGACCAGCCTGCTTCCGTTCACTTCAGAGCTGACAACGGATTAAAATAACACCAATTCACTGGCCTATTGGGAAGCAGAATAGGGCCCTCTGTCTCACTGCAGGCTCCCCACATATGATAAGCTCCTCACATCCAGTGAGCCTCAACATGCACCTTGCTACCTAGGCATCAGCTTATCTGTATACAGTTCTTAGAAAGTATTGTGTCCTGGGGCTGAGAGTCACGTATGAAGACAAGCCAAATAACCTCCAACATCTCAGAACTGGCCATATTTTCAAGTTATTTGGAATTTCTTAGGAGTGTGTAAAAATTGAGCCCACTGGAAAACCTCCACTGTAGCTCTGCGTAGGGAGGTGGTATTTATTGGCGGAGAAATACAGCCCAGCTTGTGTTTCATTTCTCCTGTAAATCAGAGATGTACACAGTGGATCAAAACCCACTGAGGAAATTAAGGAGCACAGTTTAAGGGAAAGGGGTCTGATTTCAGAGTTGCTGTTTTTACCTAGATCTAGGCTTTCCTTCCTGTGTGTGCATACCTCTCTCTCCTTGTCCCTTCCTTCCTTTCTTCCTTCCTTCCTTCCTTCCTTCCTTCCTTCCTTC